ACTTTTTTATCATGTCTTACAATCTCTATAGTTTGATTGGGGTATTTAAACCTTTCACGTTGAATATAATTATTCATATGGCTGAATTTACATTTTCTATTTGATTTCTATGTCTCCTGTCTTTTTTGTTCCTGTTTGACTTCTTTTGTGTTAAATACTGGTACTATTTTAATCACTCAGTTAATTATTTTTAACTTTTTTTTTTTTGTAGTAGTTGCTCTTGGGATTAAAATGTATATTTTATCACAAAATACTTCAGATTTATATTAATGTTTGATAAAATATAGAAATTTTATTCTAGCATTTGTGTTATGGTCCCCTCCTTTGTCCTCTGGTCATATATATTACATCTGTACATGTTATAAATCCTATAATACAGTGTTATACAATATTATGCCTTTTACAGAAAAGAAGAAATGAGAAAATTATATATAGAGTTAGTTTATATTAACCCACATACTTATCATTTCCATTACTCTTCATTTCTCCCTGTGGATTAAGTCACCATCTAGAGTCATTTCCTTTAAGCCTGAGGTATGTCTTGTAAAGCACGTCTTCTAGGAATTAATTCTCTCATTCTTTGCTTACTGAGAATGTCTTTACTTCGCCTTCTATTTTTTAAGGGTAGTTTTACTGACAGGTGTTTTGTTTTTTTCCCTTTTGGCACTCTGAATATGTCATTCCACTGCCTTCCAGTTTCCACTGTTTTAGATGAGAAGTTGGTGTTGATCACATTGATGCTCCCTTCTAAAGCGTTGCTATGAGTTAGACTTGACTCAATGGCAACAGGTTTGGGTTGGTTTTTCTATGTCATAAGTTGTTTCTATCTTGATGTTTTCAAGATTTTTTTCTTTGTCTTTAGCTTTTAACAGTATGACTATGATGTGTCTATGGGTTTCTTTGTGTTTTCCTACTTGGGGATGACTGAGCTTCTTGGATGTGTAGATTCATGTTTTTCATAAAATTTGGGAAGTTTTCAGTCATTGTTTCTTTAAATATTTTTTCTGTCCCTTTCTCTCTCTTCTCCTTTTGGATCCTATCGTACATATGGTACACGTGATGTTGGCCCACAGGCCTCTGAAGCTCTAATCATTCTTCAATCTTCTTCTGTCTGTTCTTCAGACTGGTTAATTTTAATTTCTCTTTCTTCAGGTTCACTGAGTCTGTCTTCTTGAATCTGATGTTGAGCCCCTCTAGGATATTCTTCATTTAGTTATTATACTTTTCAACTCCAGAATGCTCATTTAGTTGATTTTTTATAATACCTATTTCCTTCTTGAGAATCTCTACTTGTTAATCATAGTGTTTTACTTCCCTTTAATTCTTTAAATATGGTTTCTTTTAGTTCTTTGGATGTATTTACAATAGCTGCTTTGAAATCTTTGTCTGCTAAATCCAACTTCTGAGAACACTCAAAGACACATTCTACTGGTAACAACTTTTTTTCCTTCCCCTGCATATGGGTCACAATTCCCTACTTTTTTGCATATTTTGTAATTTTTTGTTAAAATCAGACACGTTAGGTAATGCATTGTAGCAACTCTGGATTCTGATAGTTTTTCCCTGAATCTTATTACTGTTACTGGTTTTTGTTTGTTGTTCATTTCTTTGTTTAGTAACTTGCCTGGGCTAAATCTGAGAAATCTTTCTCCCATGGGATGTGTGGTCATTAATATTCCTACTCAGATTTTCTTTTTTTTTTTTTGGTTTTAAAGAACAAGAATTTATTGTCTCACAATTCTGGAGGTTAGAAGTCCAAATCAGGGCATTGGTTCTGTCAGTAGCTCTGGAAGTTCCTTGATGTCTGTCTTCCCTGTGTGTGGGTCTCTCCGTGTCTATTCCCCCTTTTTATAAGACATCACTTTGAAAGGATCAAGTTTAAGACCCACCCTACTCCTATATAGGAAACCCTGGTGGCACAGTGGTTAAGACCTATGGCTGCCAACCAGAAGGTTGGCAGCTCAAATCCACCAGGCGCTCCCTGGAAACCCCATGGGGCAGTTTCACTCTATCCCATAGGGCTACCACAAGCTCGAACCGACTCGATAGCAATGGTTTTGATTTGTTTTTTTTGGCCAATTCTATATAAGGAGCCCTGGTGGTGAAACAAAAATCCACTGCCATTGAGTCGATTCCGACTCATAGCGACCCCATGGGGCAGAGCAGAACTGCCCCCACAGGGCCTCCAAGAAGTGGCTAGAGGATTTGAACCGCCGACCTTTTGGTTAGCAGCCCAGCTCTTAACCACTGCACCACCAGATGACAAAACGGTTAAGAACTTGGCTGCTAACCAAAAGTTGACAGTTTAAACCCACTCGGTGGCTCTGTGGGAGAAAGACTCCATGATCTGCTTCCATAAAGATTACAGCCTTGGAAACCCTATAGGACAATTCCACTGTCACATGGGGTTGCTTTTTATAAGACACCTATGAGTCTGTGAGTCAAAAATCAACTCCACAGCCCCCAACAACTACTCCTACATGACCTCATTAACATAACGAAAGCCAATCCCTATTTCCAAACAGTCATATTTATAGGTACACGGGTTAGGACTTCAATATAATTTTGGGGGGACACAATTCAGTCCATAACAGGTCCTTACATTATTCTGCCTTTACTAGAGTTATTTGTTAACTTGTCTACTTGTTTTATTTTATTCCCTATTCTCATTCTCCCAACTTAATGGCAAAAAAACTTTTTTTTAAAATATTTTATTGTACTTCAGGTGAAGGCTTACAGAACAAATAGTTTCTCTCTTTTTGTTTTTTTGTTAAATACATATTCCTGTGTTCACTTTTAAGTTTGATTCCTAGGGATCACCCATTTGTATCTGCATAGCTTAGTGGTCAGCTAATAATTGGACAGGTTTTCCACCCAGATGGATCTGTGTGTGTGTACAGGAGAGTTAATTCAAAGTTCAGGCCATTTTCAGGCCTACTTCAGTTTTTATTTTCCACTGGGCTCTTTTGTGTCTCTAATGTGTATGCACACAGCATCCAGGCCAGCCAAAAATGTGCTTACCCTAACTACCCACCACAATCTCAAACTATTAGAGCTGTGGCCCTCCTTACTCATCAACCTTCAAGACCATCATTTCCACTTGCAAGGCTGCTGAGCACTGGTTTATTACCTACCATTCCAAACTGAGTGAGCCCTCTTTGGTCAGCAGCCCCTGGCCCCAGGCCAGAGTATCACAGGTTCCTATTTTTACACAAAATTCAGCAGTTTCTAAAAATTTAAGTATTTCTCCATATCTTATATGCCTTTGGTTGATATCCAAAGTGTTGAAATGGGTGTTTTTGTCAGTTTTCTTCAGCTTTACAGGTGCTTTTGGGGAAGAGGATTTACCATTATCCTCACTTGGCCACAGCCAGAAGTCCTGTGCAAACATATTTTAAAAAAATAGTTTCTTTCAATAAAATCTATAAGAAGCTCTAATGGATAACTTGAATTTTAATTTGGAAAGATGATTTAAGGTCATGGCTCATCAAAATATTTAAGGAGTAGGATGATCCCACGTTCCAATATATACCTATTGTCCCAGAAGGTTGTCTAAGTCAGCACCTCCATTCACTCTCAAAAGATTTTATTCTGTGTCAGCAAATATAAGGTTCACCCTATTCATACCAAAAAACAAACCAAACCCATTGCCACTGAATCGATTCTGACTCATAGCAACCCTACAGGGCAGAGCAGAACTGCCCCATAGGGTTTCCAAGGAGTGGCTGGTGGATTTGAACCACCAACCTTTTGGTTAGCAGCCATAGCTCTTAACCACTGCACCACCAGGGCCCCACCCTATTTATAGGGTATCCTAAGTCTGGTTCTTAACTGTTTCATCAAGAGGTTTATTATAAGATAAGGAAACTTTCTTGTCAAAATGAAAGCTGAAATAGTCCTGCTCTCTATTTTCACTAAGGCAAATTTGAAATGTTCTAGTAATTTATAATGTTAAGAATATTTTCACCTTTAAACTCTACAAATGGATGCATATCTATGAATGCTCAGCAAGATACAGCATAAAAACACCTTTTAGATATTCATAAAGTAAAATGGTAAATTTATTGGCAAAATGCAAGTCAAAATCCTTTACTACTAAACCATCTTAGGCATAGAAAAACAAGACTTAGCAAATAACAGGAAAAAAAGTAAAGTTTCTAAGAAAAAATTCATGCAAAAACTAAAAACACTATTATGCTGACATGCTTCCTAACTACCAATCTAAGTTTTTCTCTAATTAAAAGGTTTTACCTTTAAAGGGTGTCAAGTTTAAATAATATAACTTTGTTGCCCAGAGTATGCAAGTATAAAATGCTCATATATATTTTAGGTTTGTAGGAAACCAAATATTAGGCCCTTCTTTCCCAAGAGGAAAAACTCCTGTTACTGAAAGAAATAAAATAAGCCCTTAATTTCTTCAAAAACTTCGTCCAGTATGAGAAACCAACTTGAACTGTAAACGTTCACTTAAAGCACAAAAAAAAAACACTTCATTTTATTTTGGGGCCTTCCCACCCCCTCCCCATACAATAACCCAAGATGTTCTATTCTTTCTAATTTTCAAAATGTAGTAGCATATGTTCTTTTTCAGAGCTTTTAAGATCCTTGCTTCATATCAGATTAGATTTGAGTAGGGCTATTATTGTAAATAAAATCTGTACAGGAAGTTGTTTTAAAAAAGTATTAAAAAAAAATAAGGCAGAAATCCTTGATGACTTCTATATCATTTGGTAAGAAATTTGACTTTGGAGGGAAAAGATGACCCCTAACAAAGCTAAAATTCCCTTTAAGAGAGGTATGTTCTTACATACAATGGAAAGGATAAACTTCTGTACTTCTCTTCCTTACCCAAACCAAGTCAGACAAGATCAACTGATGATAATCCAGCTAGATTATCATTAGTCCATTGTGAAGAACTATAAAAATACAAAAAATGCTCTAAAACACATAAAATCCTGAACAGTAAAAAGCAAAACATTTCACTTGCTCCTAAGATGTACCTGCAAAACAGTCACCCTGTGATGGGAAAAGAGAACAGCAGCTAATTTTGATGGGAGCACTTTGACAGAAGTTGGTACAACAAGCAGAGAGGCACCACTGGATAGAGCAACAAATATTTCCACAACAGAAGGATCAAACGTCAGCGGTGAAGCCAGAAACAAAACATCCTCTTGTGTGATCTCAAAAAGCATCCTAAAGGAAAACAGAATGTAGTCATGAAAAATGTCTAACATTTGATAAACACACATCCTAAAAAAGAGTGTTTCTGACCACTGAATTTCTGGGATTGGCCAAATTTTATTCTTCTCTTTTAGATTAACCAAAACAGTGCAGTTAATTCTAGAACTCCTCTTAAACGTAAGGACTAAAAGCCATTTAAAGGAATACCCACTTTTTACTAAGACATAATTTGTCATCTGTGATAGTTTTTTGATGTTTTGACCTGGCAAGGTTGAACTAAAATCTCCTGAATTTCTTTTCTAGTATATTCCCCATTGTTGTTTTTGTTAAGTGCCATTGAGTCGATTGTGACTCATTAGCGACCCCATGTGACAGAGTAGAACTGCCACATAGAGTTTTCTAGGCTGTAATCTTTGTGGAAACAGATCGCAAGGTCTTTCTCCCCTGCAGCCACTGGGTGGGTTCGAACCACCAACCTTTTGGTTAGCAGCTGAGCACTTAACCATTTCACCACCAGGGCTCCATGTTCCCCACTAGGGTAGGCTATAAAAGATATCCTCTCATGAAAGAACAGAACAGAGGCAGGCGCCACTTTATAGCATACACACAGCTTATACGAGTTATTCAAACACTAACGTAGGTGCTGCTGTGAAGAGATGTTGCAGATTAATTAGAAGTCCCTAATCAGTTGGTATTAGATTAATCAAAGAGAGATAATCTTGAGTTGGCCTGATTTACTCAGTTGGAAGATCTTTAAAAAAGGGCTTAGGGCTCCTCTTAGGTTCCTGGGTGGCACACTTTGTGCTTGACTATACTGACCTAAAGGATGGCAGTTCAAACTGACCCAGACTAAGAAAGAAAGGCCTAGCAATCTCCTTCTGAAAATTAGCCAATGAAATCTCTATGGATCACAACAGAATATTCTCTAACATAGTGCTGGAAGATGAACCCCTAGGTTGGAAGGTGCTCAAAGCACACAATGGCCACAATAATAGACTTGAGCATACTGACGACAGTGAAGATAGTGCAGGACTGGGCTAGGTTTCCTTTTGTTGTACGTGCAGTCTCCATGAATTGTAGACAACTGGAAAGCAACTAACAATAACAACAAAGAAGAGGTATTTCACCCCGGTATTTTCAATGCCACCCCCTCTCATATAAAGGTATCTTACTCCTTTGCACACTATTTGATTTAATCCAACCCTCTCCACCAATTCCCTACCCTCAGCCCATAAACCTCTCTCATCTTAAAAACAAAACCCTACACATCTCCCAGCATTCCTTGTATCCTGTTTCCCTTTAAAATCAGTTTCTAGAACAAAACATTACTTTTGTTATCTCCATTTCCTCTGATGGCGCAGTGGTTAAAGTGTTTGACTGCTAACCAAAAGGCTGGCAGTTCGAACATACCAGCTGCTTCGCAGGAGAAAGATGTGGCAGTCTGCTTCTGTAAAGATTACAGCCTTGGAAACTCTATGGGACAGTTCTACTCTGTCCTGTAGGGTTGCTATGAGTCAGAATCAACTCGACAGCAGTGGGTGTTTTGGGTTCACCTCCAGCCTACTGTAACCTGTCTTCTGCCCTAGGCTGTTGTTAGCTGCCCTCTAGCCAGTTCCTAACTCATGAAGATTCCACACACAAAGGGATATATGAAAGGCTGCCTCCACTGAGTTTAGCTTGAGGTACACTGGCTGGGAATGGAACCAGGGTCCACCCAGAGGCATCTGGGAAGACAGGCTTGGCAATCTACTTCCAAAAGGTCACACCCTTGAAAATCCTATGGAGCAGTTCTACTCTGCATACCTAGGATCACTGTGAGTTGGAACTGACTTAATGGCAGCTAACAAAAACAACGTGTGCCTATTGAGCACTAAAATCATAGCTGGTCCAAGAGATCTGTATGTAAGTATTAAATATTTGGTGAATTGTGAAGATGATTAGTATGAAAAAGAGAATGTAAAGTATCTAACAATTTTTTAATACTTATTATTGTTAAAAGAAAATGGCCTCACAACGATGAATCTGTGAAACGTCTTATAACATGGAGGAATGTGGAGGGCATTATGCTGAGTGAATTTAGTCAGTCACAGAAGGACAAATATGGTATAAGACCACTATTATAAGAACTCAAGAAAAGGTTTAAACACAGAAGAAAACATTCTTTGATGGTTACGAGGGTGGGGAGGGAGGGGGAGGGTTATTCAGTAACTAGACAGCAGACAAGAATTATCTTAGATGAAGGGAAGGACAGCACACACTACAGGGGAAGTCAGCACAACTGGACTAAACCAAAGCTAAGAAGTTTCCTGAATACAATAAAACACTTTAAGGGACAGAGTAGCAGGGTTATTCGTCTGGGGATCATGCTTTCAGGGGACATCTAGGTCAACTGGCGTAACAAAGTTTATTAAGAAATGTTCTGCATCCTACTTTGGTGAGTAGCGTCTGGGGACTTAAAAGCTTGCAAGTGGCCATCTAAGATGCATCAACTGCTCCCAACCCACCTGGAGTAAAGGAGAATGAAGAAGACCAGAGACACAAGGGAAGTATTAGCCCAGGAGACAGAAAGGGCCACATAAACAAGAGACTGCATCATCCTGACATCAGAAGAACTAGATGGTGCCCGGCTACCACCAATGATTGCCCTGACAGGGAACACAATAGAGTCCCCGATGGAGCAGGAGAAAGGTGGGGTACATGACTCAAATTCTAGTAAAAAGACCAGACTTAATGATCTGAGACTGGAGGAACCCCAGAAAGCACGGCCCCTGAACTCTGTCAACCCAGAACTAAAACAATTCCCGAGGCCAACTCTTCAGACAAAGATTGGACTGGACTGTAGGACATAAAATGATACTCATGAAGAGTGTGCTTCTTAGCTCAAGTAGATACATGAAACTAAATGGGCAGTTTCTGCCTGGAGGTGAGATGAGAAGGGCAGAGAGGGTGAGGAACTGGTTGAATGGACAAGGGAGATCAGGGGTGGAAAGGAAGACTGTGCTGTCACAGCACAGGGAGAACAACCAGGGTCATATAACAATGTATGTATAAATTTCTGTAGGAGAGACTAACTTGAATTGTAAACTTTCACTTAAACTACAACAATAAAAAAGAAAATGGCCTTACCTGTTTAAACTTAACTCTTAAGCCTTCCCAGAAACTAAAAAGACAGTTCTGGGAAAAGTTAAAATAATTAGATAAGCCCTAACTAGCCTATAGAAAGCAGACACAAACTTAATAAACCAATCCAAGCTGCCTCCTGCCCATTAAGTGAATGACAACCAATTGTTTCAAATTTCCCTTTTGAGAACTCCCCTAACAGTCTGTATTGTACAAAAGGTGATCAAAATTGTAATGTGACAAGCTCATTTCTTCAGATGGGTGCTCCTTATTCCAGAACAGTTTTTTCTTTGACATTACACATTGAAATGACAATATTTTGGATAAACTAAATTAAGTAAAATACACTGTTAAAATTAATTTCACTGGTTTCTAGAAAATTTTAAATTACACAAAATTTAAAATCACGTCTTGTGAGGTTTCCATTCCTATTTCCTCCTTTATTTCTTAAAACTACTTCTCTCTAGTTCCCTTCCACCTTTCGCTTCCTTCTTCTTTGTCAAATTGAGAATCTTAATACTCCTTTTATAGATTTCTCATCTCCTGACCTTATCCAACTCCACAGTGCTACAGGAGTGAAGAACTTAATAATGTATGGATCCTTTATTGGTTTCCATCACCTACTGGATTAAGTTCAAACTTACAGGGCACACCCCCTGTCCCCCTCAGGCCACATTTCCTGCCACCCCATTCTTTCCTTAGCCCTGCCCTGACACACCCTAGCAAGGCAAACTCTTTCTCCCATACCTCTGCTGCCACCTCTGCCAGGAATACTCATCCTCTCTTCTTACTAACAATTAAATTAAAGCAACACACCCAACCATATCATTATTCATTCTGTGTTTGGCCCCAGGCCTGGATCAAACAGGTGAAGCTCCAGTCTGCAGAGAACCAAAGTTCAGCTATAGCTCAGACAAAAGAAACCTTATTTTTTAGGACTATCAATTTAGGAACAAGAGTTATAAAGAACAAATATTTTAAAATTCTTTTTTTTCCCTTTAAAATACAAGTTCTAAAGAAAGATTCTAAGCAAGGAACTTACCGGAAATGCTGGATATTTGGTACTATACATGCATGAGGCACTCTGACAATCTTAGGTATCCCTGTAGTCCCTGATGTATGCAGAACATAAGCTAAGCAATGCTTTAGCCTCAGATCTATGTATTCTTCTGAGTTTCCTTCATTGCTGTTTCCAGAACCCCTGCTGTTTTTCAATTTTTCTTTTTCAGGTTTCTCTTTTCCATCACTTAGCATCAATTTCACCTCAACATTCTTCCAGTGAAGTCTGAAGAGTAGTAGGTCATTATGTTCTACTGTAAATGTATCATAGTTTAATAACGTGTCGTGGGAAGATCTGAATTTCTATTTGAGATAGGGAAAAAATTTACAATATTAGTTTTTTAAAAGACTTTTTTTTTTTAATATATAGAAGTAATGTAACACATTCATTTACTCCTTCAACAAAGCTTTTTGGTGGGTACTTGCTATGTGATAAAAAGATAAATAAGAAATCTCCAAGAGTAAGGTGCTGTCCTTACTTTCAAACTCACTTTCAGAATAAATAAGCATATAAAAATGCACAACTGCAATATAATGTGGTCAGTGTGATAATGAAGTATGCTTGAAATGTTAATGGGAATAGAGGAGGTTGAAGTTTAACTGGAAGGTCAGGGATTGCTTCATAGGCAGTGTTTAAGATAAATCTTAAAAGTGTAAGTAGCTACTCTCCAGATAAAGAAAAGGGGCACTTCAGGCAAAGAATACAGCCAGAGGATCTGACCTGAAAAAGCCAGTGTTGAGGAAAATGTTATTTCACTAAGTTGCAGTTCCAAGAATTGCGGGGGAGAGGGAGGGACGGGGCAGAAATTATGCTACTGACAGATTAGATGTTAGATCCTTAATAACTTTATACACCCAACATTAAGATCTTAACTTGTAAGTTACAGGATCCAACTGAAGGTGACAACAGCATAGACTGGACTCTACTCCACAGAGGATGGACTGATAAACAAGCCTCTAATAAGTTAGAGCCATTTAATAATCTTTTGCAACAATTCAGATATGATATCTCGGATATGAGATAATGTGAACTTGTCTATTGCAAGAGAAGTGGGCAGGAAGGGTCTATGAGCAAAGAATCAATAGGGCCTGGTGACTTTCTGGATATGAAGTGAACCTAAAAGGTTAGGTTTCTGGTTTAGGTGATTTGGCGGATGGAGGTAGATAAAAAGATGTTGATATCAGTTTGTACATGCTGAAAGTGAGGTTCCGTTTGAATATACAGTTTTAGATTTATAAAAAGCAGCTTAATGCAAGATAACCTGTTTTCACATTTAAGAAATCAATACAATTATAAAACCAGCACACAGGTCACAACCAGCAGGCTATGGTATTTTCCATCTGTGTGTGTTTGTTATGTATGGAAGTAGCCTGTAATATACATATTCCTACATATTCTTAATATCTAGCTCAAAACCCTCTTACTAAATTAAAATTTTTCCATTGCTACTAAATTATATTTA